TTTAACTGCTCTTAGAGGTGGTAAAGCCAAAGCCGTTAACAGAGATCGAACGGCAGGAATCATTCGAATTATTACAAAAGTATGATCACTACTCTAGGTCACTGTAGCTTTTCCAGTTCTTCCAAGATGAAAAATTTTCAGAAACTACGGCGTGGCTTCCAGTAGTTTAAAGCTCAAGTCACTGTTCTTTGTTAGTCGTTGTCTCATGCTTTCCAAAGGCAGGTGACTTCTGATTTATTATTGTCAGGCAAATGGTTAAGCAAAGCAACGGCAGCATTCAACTGAATTTTGATGCCAGCAAGTGAAAATTGTGGAAGCTATGTTTGTACTTGATTTAAATGGCAATAATGTAATGCATCCTCAGCCAAAGCGATAGCATTTTCCATACAATAATTCATATATTCATTCGTTTGATGTGGATGTTTCAACTCGATTTGAGCTGCGGCTAGTGGTCCAAATGCTGGTATAATCATCGCCATCATGGTCGGTGAAATGTGAGAAATAGATTTTTCCAACTGTAATACAACTTTTTTATAATTTTTTTTTTAACAGATAAAATTAATAATCCACAAAACTTTTATATCGACGAGAGAATGGTACTAACCTGCTGAAGATTAAATGACAGGGGTTGCCCGTGGTTACGCTGCAGCTCATCATAGTAGTAGTTGACCAGTTCTTCTAGATGTTGGTGTCTGTCTGCCGCACTGAGAGCGCAGAATAAATATTTGGCTAGATCTTCAGCTATACTTCCACAGTGTACCATCTGCAGTTGTTGAAAATAATGAGGTGAATATCTTTTAGAAATTGAACGCTGGTTCATGCAGACCCAAACATACATGTGCTTTTAAAATAAAAGATCAAAAAAAGTGCTTCAGTAAAGAAATGTTTATTTTTTTTTTTGTTAGCGAAGTTCTCGAGCGGCGTCAGACTGATATTTCAATGCTTGATACTTCTAAAAGCTATAGCTTTAAATTTTCCAAGTATGATCACCAGAGTCTTTTGTACTATTGCCTACAAACCTGCCAGTCAATAATAGCTTTAAATTTATTATTGCCATTATCATGGGTCCACATTATATTGGATGACCAAAAGTCACCATGTACGAGTATTGGCGGCAAACCTGAAAAACAATTCAATGAATTAAAGATAATAATAAACGG